ACTTCTAGATCGGTTTCACGCCGTACGACGCGGGCTATAACCTTCTCCACCTGAACAAGATCCTCGTCCAGCTTATCGCTCTTCTCCCGCACCTCGATGAACCTCTTGTCATGCTTATGTACCTTGGTGAAGGCATTGATGAAGGTGTCGGCAAAGTTGTCGAAAACACCGCCACTCCCTGGATCTGAAGTAATGCTAGTCCTCCCAGCGCGAGACCTCATCGTGGCATTCCAGTCAGGAGACTCGAGGAAGGTGTGAAGGAGGGGAGCGCGTCGCAGGATTGGGTGGAGGGTTATGCGTTTAAGGAAACGCTGGAGGGAGTAGGCCCGGCGGTTTGTGAAGTCGGGGCCAAAGCGATCCCCGCGAACGTACTCCATGCGCTGCTTATCGGGGAGCGGTGGGACGGCGCACGTGGGATAGTCTTTGGATAGAGTCTTGTAGATGAAGAGGAAGTCGGTGAAGCGTCGACGGCAGGTAAAGGTCGACTTCTGGAAGGAAGGGAAGGTTGACTGTATAGAAGACGTGTCAGCGTCAAGGTGAGATGCAATCATCTGCGATCCCGCCATCCGTAGCCACCCACGACCGTAAAGACAGCCTCAACCGCAACTACAATTGCAGACGACACTTCCAAGACCACTACTATCACCCCCGCCGCCACCACTACTACGCCATACGCATATACGCACATTGGTGGTGATCAGATACGACACGAAGGCGTCCTTGGTACCGTCGCTCTCCTTGTGTGGCTCCGAGACGGTGCACTCGAGTATGTCGCCGGACAGTCCGGGATCCTGGTCTTCCAGTTCCTGGCCATGGCGTTGGTCTTCGCTGCTGGGCGGCTCGGCTCCTATGTTGGGCATGGCAGCGCTGGATTGGCCATTGTTCGTGTCAGTCTGCCACGAGATGTTGGAGAAGTTGTCCTGGTCGATGACGGCCATGGCGCAAGCTCGTGTGTTAAATGACTCTCGATCTATTTGATTTGTTGATTCTGAAGTGATAAAATACCACTATGAGTTGAGAATGCGTTTGTAAAATATTCACAGACGACCACATCGAAGAGTAACCAGGTAATACATGTAGTTAGGCAACGGAGCTTAGCTAGCTACCTCGAGGTACCTTAGGCTGTTGATGGTTCTGTTGGATGTTTGTTGGTGGGTAGGTGCTGGAGCACCACAGCCTCACTTGGGGCCTACCACAGCATACGTCACGCCTTGTCATGAGCTAAGCCTTATTGGGTACTCTGTTGTAGCAGAGCCGAAGCTAAGAAATATGGGTCAACACGTGGGAGTGATTTATCGAGGCAGATGGAATATGCATATAGCCGAGAGCCTCAAGAACGGCATAAGGCAATCTTCAAGCATCGTTCACATCGTACAGGTGAACTTGGATTTTCCCCTGCTGCACTTCAGAGCTGCGTGGTTTTCAACACTGAGAAACACAATCAGGTCATCGAAAATACTCTATCTAGCTTTTTAATACAAATCCTACGTTATCCCGATTATCGTCGATTACCCGACCCCATTCCAACAACAGCCTGAACAAGTAAACCTCCATATCTTCCCTCCTTATCGTCTTCTCGGCCCATTTGCGGCCCTGTTGAGCGATCCATTTCCCGTCATCCGTTCGTCCCGGCGTGATCTGTGCCCTTCCGTTGAGCGAGCCGCGGCCTTCCAGGCCGATGAAATAGGACATTGTGCTATGGAGAGCGTGATATCTCGTGTCGATGGGGATGAAATGCACCCAAGGCAGGAGTCGTTCCGTGAACCATTGCTGAAATATCGAGGACAGAACCGGCACGCTGTTTGATCGCAAGACCTGCAGTAGGTTTGGTGGCGGCCCGTTGCTGGTGTCCAGTAGCATCACGTAACGGGCATCCACCTCGGTCATTGGCTGTTCCAGTCCAAATTCGTCTCGTATAAGCTCGCATTTTGTGTCTCCGCAGCCTTCAGGGGGGCCGGTCAACGAGACTCGAAAGGGCAGGATACTGTTACCCTCCATGGTAGGTACGTCTTCGTACCGAAACCTGCTATTTTGCCCTGTTCCTATACCCAGAAGCATGGGGATTCTATCCGCAGCTGTGGAATTCTGTATGAGATGAACCAAACGCAAACGATGGCTACTGTGAAGCAGCTCGTGTGTTGCCGTGGGAATATCTTGAACATTCCCTTGCCATAGAAGAAGGTCTTGCTTCTGATTGAAGGTTGTGGCATCGAACTCCGGCGCCAGCTCGTTCCCTGAGAGGGGAATCAATATATCGTTGAAACCAGCTGTCTTTGACCCGCTAAAGAGGGGTAGTAGAGTCTGGTAGAGCTCAGACTGATGGGGAACAGTATGAAACTCGTGAAGATTGAAGATGTCAGGCTGGTGACACGGATCGAGTGACATGTGCCAATCCTCGAGGAATTGCGCCTTGCTGTGTGGCAAAGTACATGAGGCACAGAAGTCCCTCACATCCCAATTGATACCACCACGAGTTGGTGATCCGGGGGGACAAGCGAGGGACTCAAGCTGTCGAAACTGATAGGCCGCAATATAGGGCCGAGCCGAATAGCTTGATCCTGTAGGCTTCTCGGTTTTCGCATTCCTCTCGGTGGGGACATCTGGATTGTCACGTTTACCTAGCCTACCGGGGATGAGCTGGAAACGTGACTGCGTAGCTGTCACCCTTAATTGATGCATATCATTCCAAGGGACCAGAACCCTCGGCCGTTCTTGCAGATTGAGAGCAATTTCCATCGCTGGGAGATGCTGCGCGAAGGCAGATATCAAGCTGACGAGTTCGTTCAATGTCTCTTTCTGGGATTGATCAGTCGCGCCACTGTGAGTCGCCTTGCCATCAGCAATGCGAATGATACCAATGTTTGGCTGACTCTTGAGGAACTCGAGACCATCTCGGATCTTGCGCGGCTCTAGGGCCCAGAACGGTAATATGTCTCTCTCCATCTGTTCAAATCCGTCGATAACGACCGATTCTCGCTGTCGAGCGAACTCAAACCATTTATCGAAGTTTTGTGGTGGCTTACGTCCGTGATGTCTTTCTGCATATTCCTTGACCGCGAGATTCAGGGTTGTGCTAACTGTAGCATGCAGAAGCCATCGGTCTTCCTCTATCCGATTCTGGTAAACAAGGTCATCAACAGGATGGCGGGAAAATAGTTTCTGTGTTAGGCCGATGTAGACGGTAGAAAAGACTAATACACCGAGAAGTAATAACAACAAGAAAGCGCGCCTTATGACAATGATTGTCCGCATATTGTTTGTATATGCGAAAATGATGAATCCGAGTGAAACTGAGCCCAGTAAGAGTAGCGGCTGGGCTGCAGAGGTCTGTTGGTATGTCCCGACGAGCAGGACATTACCAACACTAGCTGATGCGCCCGAGGCAAAGGTAGCGATGGTGATGGACTCGAGAGGCGAGCTGTCGCAGAACATCAAGGATGCAGATATGATCAAGGTGGCCACAGCGATGCCAGTGCTCAAAGTGTCGAAAATGTAAAGAGGGTTGATGCCCCTGAAAGATTGGTGTCCAGCCATCTCACTACGCCAGGACAGCCGTGTCACGAGTGACGGGATGCATGTTGCAAATGCAGTGACTAACAAAATGCCACCAAGGGTCCGCAGTCGACTCCTAGTTGTTCGGGCCCATGAGAGTACTCTCCATGAAAGAATAATGATGGCTGCGTCCGCGAATAGGCTTGCCCACTGAGTGAATGCCACAAGCGATTTCCTGTCGGTGAAAGAAGAACAGAAATATGTAGATCGCATCATCGAGTTTTCGGCTAGAAATGATCCGTAGCTAAGGAGAGCGGTCCCGAAAAGTGGCATGAATGGTGAGCCCATGAGCCAACTCTTAAGGTCATCCAACACGCTTCCCCACATATCCTCGGGCTCATCTGAATCTACTTGTGGTGGACGGTATGAAAAAAACCTATAAGCGGCCAATAAAAGTGGCAAAAAAGCCTATCAGGCCTGGTTAGATGCGAGACTGACTGAGGAAGTAGGAGATGCTCACCTCGACTCCAGGTGTGGAACATTGGAAATCACTTAGACCTCTATAAGAAAGTTCTAGTCTAATAATGATGAAGACAATAATACAGGGTATATAGAACCGACGGGGTCTTGGAGGCAAAGACAACGATGACGCCTTGAGGATAGCATCGGAATCTATCAGAAGCGTCAATTATAGCCCCGACACGAGCAAGAATGGATAACGGACCAAATCTTCCATCGGCTCCTGGCAGCCATTTAGAAAGGAGGCTCACAGCAAAGGCCGACAAGCTAGAAATGAGTAGTAGTAAGAAGGCTGAGAGACGTGGTTGATCTGCGCATTGAAATTAGCACGTCTATCATGAGCAACCACACCATAAACAAGGATAGTGAATAGGTGAATACTGACTGATTAGGGTATGTCTTTGCACAGAATACGACAGCCAGGCAAATGAGGCCAGGAACCTGATATATTTCCAGTTAGTAAACATTAGACACCGTGATCAAGATTGTCTGGATTTGGTCGTGCAGCTGCTGTGATAAGGGGCAGAGTAAGCGGGTAAGCAAAACTCACCAAACACCTGTTAACCTCGCGCCGCCGTCGGGAGCCATCGCAGCAGCAATGGCAATGTGACCTTGGTCACATTGGTTTCACAAGAGAGGCACAGCTGTGTATCTTCGATAATACGATCGGAAGTTGTCTCGCGATGAGTTGGTAGCGTTTGAGCAACCACCAGGCAGCTATGAATGTGAATGTACGAAGTACTGCACTAACTCGATACAGGATAATGAATTTGGTTAGCGGCGGAAATACCGTGGTATGGAGTTGACTCACACTGTACGCTACAGATAGCAGGTAGCCTTAGCATACTAACAGCCACTCAAAATACAGTGCGAAATACAGTATGAACAGCTTGGTCCAGAGCCCAAAAACGATCCACTAGCCGTAGATGGAATAGTTAGGAGGGTCATCTCCTATATGAGATTGAAATTTTCACCTCTTTAATGTTATTGGGCGAATGGTCTAGGGGTATGATACTCCCTTCGCATCTGACTTCAGATTAAGACTGGGAGGGGTCCGGGGTTCAATTCCCCGTTCGTCCAGTGCCGTATGCGCTTTATTTTTGCTGTTTTTTTTTTCTGTTGACCACTGTAAGCCGTCCGTCCAAGCTCCCCCTTTTAGACCCTATTGTTGAATCCAGGAGAGAATAGAAAAGCCCGAACACCTTCTGTTCTATTTTCTTTTTGATATTTATATAGTGCTGCTTTACGTTGTACAAGTGTCTACGACAAACATAGATAGTTCCACGATATAGTATATGAGATCAGAACAGATCTCTTGATAGCTCAGAGTGCCTGTACGTCCTCAAGTATGGGCGGGGTTATCAGCACAGTAATGACAGATGACAGACAGCCTGCACTAACATGCAGCCCTAATGTTGCCTTATCTTCTCAGCAGGGGTTGATGTCTAGCTGTTGTGTGATTGATTCGCTTCGACGCTGCATCAGATCTGGGTTGGCATCATTGGCCAGTCGCCGCAGTGAAATCAAATAGAAACCAAAAGTAGCCCTCAGGAGGAACCCGGATGGCCACCTGGGTAGACGTTCGTGTTCTAATAGGTAGGTATAAGTGAGTAATACTGTAGCAAACGTACTTGAGTTGCCCTAAATTAGGTCCGTATGATCCTTCGAGGCCTGTCCTCTGCTTGTTTATAACTGAGCAATAAGAGGCTTTGCTCCATCATCCCCTCTCGACCATTATGTGTCCCACAGTAAAGCTGCTGAACATCATTCTTCTTAACGTCTAACGTCTTCGCCGACCTCAGTGTTCCAGTAACTTCACATATCTTCTCGGGCTTGATCCACGGAACTTACGGAACATACACTCGAATATCGTGGGGAAGTTGAGAAGATGAAAGAGGAGAAACACAATCATCGTGCCAAGATTTACCCATCCAGGACTCTGTTAGCCGACTACCACTGCGGCAAAGGGGTGCTGCCAAGCCAACATACTCCCGTGCAACACCACGCAAAATGTACCAAGAAAGGAGACACGGGGATCGTATTGGCAGTGGAAATAGTATTTTAGGGCGCTGTTATTATCACGAGAGGCTGATCTTGTACTGTCAGGCAGAATAGGTATACTCTTCGCATCCACTCGCCTTTCGTGCCGAAATTCGCTTCGTCCTCGCTCGAGTTGATAAACAGATGGAATCGGGGATCCAATGTGGCCAGGGGAAGACTCGACTTCAAGAGTCCTCGTCCAGAATGGATGAGTATCCTTAACTATTCATTTCAGCCGGAATAGACTGTCAATCAGGAACCGTCCGCGACCTTCGATGCATCAGGTAAACATGATAGCTCACGACTTCCTCACGACAACCCTGTTGATGGATGGTATGACAATTGAGCTACCTTTCTCTCACTAACATGAACCAACGACAGTGAGGAATGTCAAAACTTCAATGCTTCAGTGTTTGCTGACAATACTGCTTAGATTGTGTTCCGCATACTTCGTTGCTAGTATTGATTCATGGATTCCATTCGACGCTTTACCAAGCTTCCGAAGACGGAGTTGTTGCGAGCGAGAGGGCATCAACACTCAGAGGACACACCCGATCCGAAAACGAGGAGGACTTTTTACGACCGACCATAATGGAAGCGATCACGACTTATCTTTGTTTCGCATAATAGACAGGGTCAACCTACTCCAGAAGAAACGAGACGAGGCCTTGGTCACTCAAGTGCGTCGGTAGCAACGGGCGTCAAAAGGTGCAACTTTTGCATAACGAAACAAAGACTAACAGCACGATTCGAGTCTTTTAGATGACGAAGTCAATGGTTACCTTGGCAAGCAGTCAACATCATCGCTATCATCGCTCCCGAATCCTTCAATGGCAGCCAGTCAGTCAAGATATACACGAAGAGACAACGATACCCATGCAGCAATTTCGTAAACGAAAATACGAAGGACGAATAATACATACGATTTATCATGCGTGCCTCTTGGCAAATGTGTTGAAAGTTACCTGCGGTGTCGCAGAAAGAGGCGGGACGAACGACACGTGGAGACGGATCGAACGGTCGGCGAATGTGTACATAGTGTACTCGACGTTCCACGCGCTTGGGGCCAAGACAGTCATCTGACGCGTGGCTGTGTTTCCGGGACAAGGCTGTATAGATTGCTGACTGTTCTTTCAGTCGCTTAGCTCTTTTAGCTCTTGGCGGGCATCTCCGAATGCCTTTTCCATCTTCTCCGGGCAGCTTTAATAGGATTTGCCCAGCACGCCCAGACAGCATCGACACTTAGCTCACCGTTTACCGCTCAGCTTTGGCTCGACGAGAGAGAAGACGGCTACAACTTGCTTACATGAGCACATATCTGGGCGCCTTCGGCATCGCATACCTATGTCGAGAGAGTCTGGGCGACCACGACAAGTTCTTGGATCTGTCTACCCAACTGCGAAGACGAAAAAGGATGACTAAAATGCTAAGGGACGGCTTCATGGGCGTTCTAACTAGAGAGGAAAGCCCGAGCTATCCACCTGGCTAACCTAGCGAATTACCTAGTGTAGGGGCTCCACGGTCTAAACTATTCGCCACTCGTGGATCTATCCGTCGACTAAGTGGGAGGTTAAGGCTCTGTGCCTCATGTGCTGTGCCTCTTGAATGACGGCATCATGGAGCTGGGCCAGGATTCATTAGGTGATTAATCGATCTTTAGCTAATTTACACTCTACGGCTCGGTAGGTGACTTGACATTTCATTGAGAATACCTACCTACCTACCTACCATCGAGGTACGGCATTCACGCGAATCAATTGACTTGATGGCAATGATACCCTGGTCCGCAAAGACAGGCCCCCTGGCACGTATGACAAAGTCTTGGAGGCGTGATGCAGACTAAACTGTTTAGGTAATGTCCGACTCTTCGCGACTCTCATTAGCGGACGAGTAATATTCTCTAAGATCTCGAGAAACGGAACGGGTCCGAAAAAGAATTTACGACCATACTTCGCACTCTCCTACCTATCTGAGAACATCACTATGAATGCCTACGCTGCTAGTGTGCACAGATCTGGGCTAGGTAAGAGTTGTGGTGGAAGGAATACCGGCAACTCCACGTGTACCTCTATACCGCTCTCCCGCTACTCGTCTATAGTCATACACGTGGAACTGGGACGGAGGTAGAGTAAGGAATAGAAGGGTGCCTTTTCTGGGATAGCTTCTGGAATAGTGTCTTGGAAGACGACGATTCCGACTTATACTCACTTATGAAAGCGAATGCGACCTGCTATACTATTCCTCTCAACATGCAGGTTTGTCTTCCTACACTAGGCAGAAAGAGAAAAGAGATAATAGACTTAACCGAATGTCCATTAATGCCTGTCTTGTAGGGCGTCATCTAGTGCAGTATTGTCGACCAAGCTCGCCACAGCATCGAGTGACTCAATTACCTAATTGCATAGGAAAACGCCCAAAGCTTGATCAGATGCGCACCAGGTGCCTAACTTTATCTCGGTCTTGGATCTTGGCGTCTTATGTCAGCCCACCGGTAGTAAACCTGTCCAGGTCGCCACGACAGCCACGGCTCAGGGGCCCCGGCCACTAGGCTTACATAGTACCGGCAACACTGTCCAACGCTCTAAGATGTCCTGTAAGTTGCCTCGTTCATCTTACTGGATGTCGGGTAGAGCTGAAGGTCTCAACGGCAACATGCTCGTGCCTTCATTCATTCGGCCTTAGTAAAACGAGATCGAGTTCGTCGTCGTGGCAATGCTGTAAGATGCAAAATCAAACTACTATGAGAGCAGGATGAGCTTGGCCATGCTTGGCCTCATTTCCTGGGAGACGTCTCAGGTTCCATACCAGGATTAGATACGCCCCAAGGATTTGTTCCATGCTGCATGGGACTCTCAATATCACCGTGAAGCTGCATTCGCCAAGCTACGCTACGTTTCCATGGCATCTCCACACTCTAAAGACAGGTTATAGACAAGCAAGGATGGACAGTCAGCCTCAACCACATGAGTTACCTACCTACCTACTAGGTAAGGTGCTATTTTAGGCGATTCGTCCATCGGGAACCCTGTCGATATGGCCATTTCGCAAGCGTAATGCAGGATTACCTGCTCAAGGCTCATGGAGATGTGCTCGCATATCGAGGGCAGAGCTGTGAGGCAGATTGGATATATAAATCCATCTGACATCTCCTGAATGTACAGTTCTTTCTTCTCCTCACCCCTCTCACCACATTCAGTCATTCTCTACAGCCTTCTCGCAATTCCTCCTCTCGCCAGTCCACCGTTGTGATAAATCGTCAAGATGAAGTTCTCCGGTCTCGTCTCTGGCCTGGCTGTTGTCGGCGCCGCCGTTGCCGCTCCTCCCAAGAACCCCCTGGAGTGCAAGCTGCCCACGACCAAGATTGCTGGTGTTGAGGTTGTCAACACGAAGATCGTCCAGGATGCCCACAACCTGGTGAAGGCGTTCATCCCTCTTCAGCCCTACCTGTACAACCACGTCGTCCGAACATGGTTGCTCGGCGCTGCCGCCCTCAACAACAACGCCACCCTCAAGTCCCAGGTCGATCTTGAGCTCCACGCCGTCGGCTCTCTCCTCCACGATCTTGGTTGGGACCGTAAGTTGTACCATGACATCGGAGTCTCATAATTGCCATCTCTAACTTGCCTTTAACAGAGCGTGACAACACTCCCTACAACAGCCACGCCTACCGCTTCGAGATCGAGAGCGGTGTCGCCGCCGTGAACTTCGTCAAGGCCCACCCTGACGGCAAGAACTGGAACGCCGCCCGTCTCGAGCGCCTCTACGACGGTATCGCTCTCCAGACCATCATCGGTCTCTCCGACTTCAAGAACATCGACACACAGTGGATCGTCAAGTCCATTGGCTTCGAGTTCCCCCAGCCGCGGTCTCCCCTGATCCCCGCCAAGTACTACGACAGCGTCCAGGGCGCCTACACCAACAGCACCCTCTTCCGTGGCACCAACGACACCTTCACCCGCTTCGCCGTCAAGGACCCCCAGACCACCTTCAACACCTTCCTCGACGTCTTCGGCGAGGAGTACGTCTCCGGCTACAGCGAG